ACATGGTCTCAAATGTGAGTGAATGGTTGATGGATACTGGTGCTACTAAGTATATCTACGCTGACAAAAATCTGTTCACCTAATACCATCCTGCTGCCCATGGAGAAAAGTTGTATATGGGTAATTCTGCCGCATCTGCGATGGAGGGCAAATGCAAAGTGGTACTCAAATTCACATCTGGAAAGAGTCTCACCTTGCTGAATGTGCTGCATGTTCCTAAAATGAGGAGGAACTTGGTTTCTGGATCTATTCTGATTGCTAAGGGCTTTAAACTTGTAATGGAATCCAACAAATTTGTACTTACCAAGGGTGGGATGTTTGTTGGAAAGGGTTATGTGGCTGAGGGCCTCGTGAAACTCAATGTAATTGCCATTGATGATGCTAATAAAATAAATGCTTCTACTTATATTGTTGAGTCTTCTAATATTTGGCATGCTAGATTAGGACATGTTAATTTTCATTCCATGCAAAAAATGGTTAAATTAGAATTACTACCTAAATTCGAAATTGATTTTAATCATAAGTGTGAAACATGTACTAAATCGAAATTTGCTAGGCAAACGAGAAAGTCAATTCTGGAAAGATCAAATGAATTACTTGGATTAATTTATAGTGATCTTTGTGAGTTTAAATCCACATGAACTCGTGGAGGAAAGAATTATTATGTCACTTTTATTGATGATTGCAGTAAGTATTGCTATGTTTATTTGATTCATAGCAAGGACGAAGCTTTGAATATGTTTAAGACATATAAAGCTGAAGTTGAAAATCAACTTGAGAGAAAAATCAAAGCACTTAGATCTGATAGAGAAGGAGAGTATGAGTCTACTGCCTTCTCAGATTTTTGTGCATAACATGGAATTATACATAAGCAACGACTCCATACACACCACAACAAAATGGTGTAGCCGAAAGAAAAAATAGAACATTCAAAGATATGATTAATTCCATGTTAAATAGTTCAGGGCTTCCACATAGTTTGTGGGGTGAAGCTTTACTTACTGCAAATACCATATTGAATAAGGTTCCTTTAAAGAAAATTGACAAGTCACCTTATGAACTATGGAAAGGACATAAACCCACTTATAAAACCCTCGAAGTGTGGGGTTGCTTAGCAAAGGTGCAAGTTCCGTTACCAAAAAGAACGAAACTAGGACCTAAAACTATTGATTGCGTATTCATTGGATATGCAAATAATAGTTCTGCTTATAGGTTCCTTGTTGTAAAATCATCGATTTCTGACATACATGTTAACACTATATTAGAATCAGCGGATGTAGAATTCTTTGAGGATATATTTCCTTACAAAGATAAGGAATCTGGTTCTAATACAAAGAGGGTTCATGATCATAGTCATGATGAAGCCTCTTCTTTTGGTGTCCAAGATGTGGAACCAAGAAGATGAAAAAGAATCAAAGTTTCTAAAAACTTTGGACCAGATTTCATTGCTTTCTTGTCCCAGAATGAACCTAGAACTTTTAAAGAAGCAATGTCTTCTTCCGACTTCTTTATGGTAGGAAGCAATTAAAAGTGAAATGGAATCCATTATGGAAAATAACACATGGGAATTGGTTGATTTACCTCCCGGTAGCAAACCAATTGGCCATAAATGGATTTTCAAGAAGAAACTTAAGGTGGATGAAACCATTGATAAGTTCAAGGCACGTTTAGTAGCCAAAGGTTATCGCCAAAAGGAAGGGTTGGATTATTTCGACACCTATTCTCCAGTTTCTCGCATAACGTCAATTAGGACGTTAATAGCGATTGCGGCTGTATACAACTTTGATATACATCAAATCCATGTAAAAATAGCATTTTTAAATGGAGAACTAGATGAAGAAATATACATGGAACAACCTGAAGGGTTCATGCTTAAAGGACACAAAAGCAAAGTGTGCAAATTAGTTAAGTCATTATATGGACTTAAACAAGCACCAAAACAATGGCACGAGAAATTTGATCATACTTTGTTGACATATGGGTTCAAAATAAATGAATCTGATAAATGTGTCTACATTAAGAGTAATGATAAAACTTGCGTTATTGTCTGCTTGTATGTGGATGATATGCTCATAATGGGAAGTGATAAAGATGTAATAAACAAAACAAAGAAAATGTTGAATTCAAGTTTTGACATGAAAGACTTAGGTCAAGCCGATGTCATTTTAGGAATTCAAATTAAGAGAAATAGTGAAGGGTATGTCCTTACACAATCCCATTATGCAGAAAAAATATTACGAAGGTTTGGTCAATTTGACTGCAAACCTGCGACAACTCCTTTTGATGCTGGATGCAAGTTGGAGAAAAATAAAGGCAATGCCATATCTCAACTTGAATATTCTCAAGTAATTGGAAGTCTAATGTACTTGATGAATTCAACTAGGCCCGACTTAGCTTATGCAGTAAGTAGGCTTAGTAGATATACAAGTAATCCGGCACAAAAGCATTGTGATGCTTTAGTAAGAGTGTTAAGGTATTTGAAAAAAATACACTTGACTGCGGATTACACTACACAAAGTCTCTACCTGTTGTAGAAGGCTTCAGTGATGCCAATTAGATTTCTGACACTACAAAATCCAAGTCGACAAATGGATATATTTTTACCTTGGGAGGTGCAACAATATCTTGGAAATCCTCTAAACAGAAATGTATAGCTCGTTCCACCATGGAGTCCGAGTTTATAGCTTTAGACTTGGTTGGCGAAGAAGCCGAGTGGCTCAAAAATTTTCTGGAGGATATTCCAATGTGGCCAAAGCCTGTAATTGCTATATCTATATATTGTGACAGTATGGCCGCACAATCAAGGGCCAAAAGTCATGTATACAATGGGAAGTCAAGACACATCAGGCGTCGACGTAATACTCTTAAGAAGTTGCTCTCCAATGGAATAATATCCATTGATTATGTGAAGTCAAAGGAAAATATAGCTGATCCTTTAACAAAAGGCCTACCAAGAGAGCAAATATTATTTACATCGAGGAGAATGGGTCTCAAGCCAATTCAATGAATCGAACTGGGCGGAACCTAACCTAGCTGATTGGAGATCCCATGATCTAGGTTCAATAGGCAAACTGGTTCAGTTTGATTCAAAAGTTGAACACATAACTTACCCATTCTTATGATAAATGTGTGTTGTCTGTTGAAGTTTGAGGGGTTATGTTTTATACATTTAATGACATTAATATCTTGTTATCAAGAGGAATATGGCAGACTATTCTTAATTAATGTCACCTATATAGGAGTAAATGGGGCCGCATTTATGAGAATTGAAATGGCTAAATTCTCAAAAGCTCCTATGAAATCCAGGATCTGTTCAGGGCCAAAATGAACACAACCGTATGAATTGACGTGTGGCAGACATGATATGTGTGTAGCATATTGTCTCGGTTTACTACTGCGGTGAATAGTTCAAGATCTTCCACATCCACTGCGTCACCAAGTAAACCCGATATGTTTTCACTAGGGTAAGTTCAAGTCCAAAAGACACTTCACTCAATGCATATCATGTCTATTCTCTCTTAGTTTTAGGTAGCCTAGTCATACATTTGCATTCAAATGTGGGGTGTTATAAGTAAATTGGTGGTGTTTGAATGAAATTTCAACTGTATTGTTGGAAATTTTGAGTAGAATTTCATTGTCCTACATTGCTCACCACCACAAGGTTTCCTCACTTTATAAGGCTTTGTCTCTTATAGAAAGTGATTGGAGTGATGGACCTTGGAGAATAAAATTGGGCTCACTCTTGGGGTTGGGCTTTGAGGTGTAATAAATTAATTGATAATTAATTAATAATTAATATATTATTAATTATCAAAAGATGGGTCTTGGGGCTCTTGGGCTCTGAAAATTAAATTCTTTAATTAATTATTTTTAATTAATTTCGAATTTAATTAAATTATTTTTTATGGAAAGACTCATCTTTTCAGATGAAGTCTGAGAGTGTATCTGATAAACAGATGGAGCAACACACCTTTTACGTTGAACAGTCGCCTCCCAAAAACATGTCTGTTGCGAACAGACATATGTTCACTATAAATACATGCATCTGCATATCATTTAAATCACAAAAAATCATCAATCCTCATATACCAAGCATACTGAGAACACCAGAAACAAATTCGCTAGAAGTCTAGTTTTCTGGTGTTGGAATTCTAACTTAGATCGTTGAATCCTGGTGAAGTAGACGTCCGTAGAACTACAAGCACTGAGTAGGGACAAAATTTCTGTTTCAAGGACATTGCGGTTCCCAAGCCTCGATCTTCAAGTTGTTTGTTTTATATTTTTGTTTTGTTCATACTCTGTTAATTTTTCTATTTGCATTTATTATTTATTAGCATATATAATTATATCACAGATTGTTGACTTATATCCAACAATTATCAGGTCACATTCCCCCTAGTCATTCTCTGTGTGTGGCAATCTTACATCCTATTTCGGAAATTTAAGTCAATTAAATGAATTAAGCTTAGAAGGCAACAACTTCCAGGCAATATTCTGCCAAGTTTAATAGAGTGTCAGAATTTAAGGCTCTTATATCTCGGTGAGAATAGTTTTAGCGGTATCATATCGCAAGAAATCATTGGTTTGTTGAAATTGTATATATTTAGTTTACCTCAAGTGTTAAAGTGACTGAACACTGAAAAAGCTATGAGAATGGCAGATTGTATACCTCGTTTGTTACATTGTTGTACAATATATACATCATAAGTCAACTATTCAACCCTACTTTAAAGGCTAGGGAACAGTGACCCATATTTAGTGGGATTTGACTCAAACCTATTTAGGTAAATATAATACAAGATATTTACATATAATACCGTATAATATTTCCTAATACTCCCTCTCAAGTTGGAGAGTGAATATTATGAAGTCCCAACTTGTCGCGTAGTGTCACAAAGTGATCTTTCCCCAAGGCCTTAGTAAATAAATCTGCTAACTGGAAACATGTAGGTATATGTGAAGGACTAATCATTCCAGCTTACAGTTTTTCTCGAACAATGTGACAATCAATTTCAATATGCTTTGTCTGCTCATGAAAAACGGGATTAGCTGCAATATACAGGGCGACTTGATTGTCGCAAAATAATGGTATAGGAGCTTTTACAAATCTTGTAATTATAGTGCAACCAAGTTAATTCTAAACATATGTTCGCCATAGCCCGATATTCGGCTTTTGCAGACGATCTGGAAACATTGTCTTGTTTCTTGGACTTCTATGAGATGAGAGAATTTCCAAGAAAAACACAATACCCTATAACTGACCTTCTAGTGGCACGACAACCTCCTCAATCAGAATCACAAAAGGCCTTTAATTCAAGACTATCAAAGGCAGGGAATAACAAGCCTTGACCAAGAGTGCCTTTGATATACTTGAGAATTCGTAAAGATGCAACCCAATGAGGTTTGCAAGGCTCATGCATAAATTGACTCAATGTGCGAACTAAAAAGACTATGTCATGCCTGGTGACAGTGAGATAAATCAATCGTCCGACTAGTCTTTTGTACTTGGTGGGATCATCTAACAATGCTCTGTCAGTGGGAGCGAGTTTCAAATTTTGTCCATTGGAAACTTGTCTGAACGTGCCTCCGTAAGTTCAGAATCCTGCAAAATATCTAGTGCATATTTTCTTTGAGACATGAAAATGCTTTTCTTAGAACGAGAGAATTCAATCCCCAAAAAATATTTTAAATCACCAAGGTCTTTGATGCGGAAGCGTGTGAGAAGAAATGTTTTGAGTCGTTCCATCTCTTGAAGATCATTTCCTGTAAGAAGTATATCATCTACATAGATGAGGACAACAATGAATGAAGTACCTTGAGCCTTGGTAAAAGAGAATAATCAGCTTTTGATTGTTGATAGCCAGCTGTCTGAATGGTAGCTGAAAATGTGGAAAACCAATTTCTAGAAGCCTGTTTGAGTCCGTGAAGAGATTTGTTGAGCTGGCATACAATGTTCTCCCTCTGTCAGCGAAGACCAGGAAAAGGTTTCATGAATACAAGCTCATGCAAATCACCATGTAAAAAGGCATTTTGAACGTCTAATTGATGGACAAACCAATGATGGGCAGCAACTACCGTAAGGAGATAGCAGAGATTGGTGAGTTTGGTTGTAGGAGAAAAAGTTTCCTGATAGTTGACACCCTTAACTTAAGTGTATCTATTTGCAACAAGACGAGCCTTGTACCGTTCAATGGTACCATCAGACTTGTATTTGATTTTATAAACCCATTTGCATCCAATGAGTTTGTGACTAGCAGGCATGGGAACCATGCTTCAGGTATTATTGTGTTGTAAAGCCTCTAATTCATCATGCATAGCCTGTCGCCAATTGGGATCAAGGATAGCCTGAGCATAGGAAGTGGGATTGGTGAGACTTGTAATGGTAGCTAGAAAAGCATAGTGGGTAGGAGAAAGATGTGAGTATGAAAGAAAATTAGAAAGAGGATACCAAGTACTTGAGGGAGGATGAGGCTGCGAAGGAAAATGACTGACTTGGTTAGTTACGTGATAGTCTTTATGCCAAATCGGAGGTTGCTTAGGATGATGGGATTGGCGTATGGGTGGAGAGGATGATGTGGCGAGAGAAGAAGAGGTGTCTGACTGAATGGGGAGGAAATGGTGGGTAGGTTCGGTGTAGGGAGGGAGAGAGTCTGATGGGGGGGTTATAAAAGTGATGAGGGTGTGAATGATGATTGATGGAGTGGTGGGGTCCAGGAGAAGATGGGATGACTTCAGGATGAGATAGAGTGGATGAAGTGATGGGAGGTGAAATATTAATGTGGGTGGGGTCCGTGAGTTGTGGAATGGAGGGGATATGGGGTGCCGTGTGGGAGAGGTCAAGTGTGTCAGTTGAGATGAGAATGGATGGTATGGCAGAGATATCCTTCGAGGGGGGGGGTGAAGGGGACATAGAGTGGATAGGACAGGTGTGTTAAAAAAATTTAACATCACGACTGACAAAGAAGGTTTTAGTCTCCAAATCATAAAGTTTGTAACCTTTCTAACCAGATGGGTAACCAACAAAAATACAACACCTAACACGAGGGTCAAATTTGTGTGTGGGGTGAACAACAGTGGAGAAGCACAAACAACCCAAAATTTTCAAGTAATCAAAAGATGGTGAACGCTTGTATATTAATTCGAAATGAGATTTATTAGATAACAAAGGGGATGGTAATCGATTAATGAGGTAGACAGCGGTGGAAACACATTCGCCCCAGAAAGAAAGGGGTAAGTGAGATTAGGACAGTAAGCTACGTGGAACGGTGAGGATGTGCCTATGCTTACGTTCGACTAACTCCATTTTTTTGCGGGGTGTAGACACAAGTGCGTTGATATTCAATGCCATTGTTTTGGAAATAATCTTTCATGGACAAAAATTCAGACCCATTGTCGACTCTTATGGCTTTGATTTTGGCATGAATGAGTATGAGCAAAGGTAATAAACAATTTTAAAAGGTCTTGAGTTTCAGATTTATATTTCATAAAAAATATCCATGTGCATCTAGTAAAATCATCCACAATGGTGAGAAACAATCAAGCCCCTGAATGTGTGGGAATTTTATGAGGTCCCCAAATATCACAATGAAGTAAACCAAATGGATTATGAGTTGATATAAAACTTGAAGGAAACGGAAGTCTAGTTTGTCTGGCTATGAGACAAATGTTACAATTATTATCAAAAGAAATATTATTCGAGAATAATGAGGAAAATACTAATTTAAGGCGAGTAGGTGAAGGATGGCCAAGTCGCATATGCCATAAATTGGAGGAGTGGGAAACTTGATAGGAGATGGGTGTTCGTTGCAACAACGACATGTAGTAAAGACCATCACGTTGCTTACCCAATCCAATTATCTTCCCTGTAGCCAAGTCCTGCAAAACACAAAAGGTGGGAAACAAAATGGCACAACAGTTTAGAGAATTAGTGACTTGGCTAGCAGACATGAGATTTAAGTGAAAAGAAGGAACACACAAAACATTATCTAATATGATATCGAGATTGAATGGTATGGTGCCGGAGGAAGTGATTATGGCTGAAGAGCGAGTGGGTAATTTAACAGTAGATATGGGTGAAGGTTAGGTTTTATTGAAAAGTGAGGAGTTTGAGGTGATGTTATTTGTGGCCCCATTATCCAAAATCTAGGGCTTTGTAAATATGGAATTAACAGAAGAAACAGTAAAAAGGCACAGACCTGCAGCGTTTGCATAAACACTGTTATTACCAGAAGCATGGTTTAAATTTATCATGGATACAGCTTGGGCGTATTGAAGCTGTTCTGTTGAAAGTCCTTGCAGAGCATTTGATTGAGACATGTGTGGTTGAGAATGGGCAATTGATGTATTGGCAGCAAGATGAGGACCATGTGCTGTGTTGGCAGCAAGAGATGAGGATGTAACAGCTGAATTTGTAGAATGAAAGGCAGCACGTGAATTGCTGCTATGGGACCCACTGGAGTGTGACTTGTTGATGTATTTCTTATCTTGGTTTCCCCTATGACTAGAGCCATTGGTTTCATTTTTTATTCGACATCTGTCTTCAGTGTGGTCTCTTTGGTAACTTGCAATAATATTTTTGAGTCCTACAATTTTCAATTGTGTGCCCATCTTTATCACAGTATTTGCAGTGAAGATTCTTCAAACTGTCAGAGGAATGGTTCGATTGACTTTGGACTGCAGCAGCGATTGAGAAATTTTCAGTTGGTCCCGATGTCATTTGTTGTTGTGTTTCATCTTGAATGACAAGTGAATATGCTTGACGAACTTTAGGCAATGGTGTCATCATAAGGATATTACTGCGAACTCCATTATAGACATCGTTGAGACCCATAAGAAATTGCATCATCCGATCTTCTTCTATTTGCTCATTATGTACCTTTGTCTAATCACAGATAAGAATAGGCCGATATGTCTCTAATTCATCCCAAAGGCCTTTAAGTTTTGTAAAATAAGCCGAGACTGTCATAGAGCCTTGTGAGAGAAATGCTGTTTAGGTTAATATTTAACTTTGGGCTCCAAAAGAAGAAAGCCCAAAAGAGTTCAATAAAGAAGGTTTTGCCCGAAGCCCAGAGTCAAGCCCAGATCATCCATCTCAAGACAATATGAAGGCTCCCCTTTAATGCAAAGGCCATGTGCTTACAAGAGAAGTGACAACCGATGGAAATCCACCTACTCTCCTCCCAAAAGTACTTTTTGGATGGCAGAACATGTAAAAAGGCTGATGACTCACTACCTTTTAGTTACTTTCAGGCAAGGGCAGAAACAACACAGTTGGACTAATTCGTCTATAAAAGGAGGAAAAGGGCCCAGAGACAAGGACACTCAATCAATCAAACAAACAAACATACAACTTGCCTCTCAGTCAAGCAAATACCCAGAAAATTGTGCTTTGTCCAAATTCTACACCTTTTTTAGCCATAGATTCCCCTTAGAAAGACATCTTTTGTCTAGTGTGAAAGCTCTGCTACATTTGCCAAATGTTGTAGTATTGATTCTCTTATGTGAAGTTGTTCACATTTCATCCCGTTTTAGTACTCAATCCCTTGTAGCCACAAAGAGAAGAGACCGCAAGATGTTTAAACCTTGCCCGACAAGGTGAAATCTTGCCCGACTCTCTTTGTTTTGTCTTTAAATCAATAGATTTGGTGTTATAATGTATCCCTCAGTATATATTGGAGTCATTTCTAGTCTTTTGATGATCCAAAGTTCCATTAGTGCTCAAATTTGGTTTACTTAGTGGTTTACCATCATTAAAAAGACTAAATGGGAACTAAACCAGTGATTTAATTAGATCTAGACCTTCACCGTTTAAGCATACAAGATAAAGAACTGAAAGTCCTTGGTCTCAAGGCATAGAAAAGAACTTAATGTGGACTTAACCCATCCACGACAATCCTTTGATAACAAGAAGTCAGAATAACTTGGGGCGCAAGTAATCAGCTTAAATACACTTGTTCTACATCTGCCATACAGAGATGATAGTGGCACGCCTCAGCACTTAGTTAGTTTTGATTGTGAGCCTCAATGCCTCCACCTAAGGCCTTACAAAGGCACCTTTCAGAACTAACTTTGTCCTCCTCTTGCAGCCTCTCAACAAGCAGGAGCCCGACAACCAACCAAAGTGCCAACTCCTTGGGGAGCTATGTGCTCGAGCCAGGGACATTTCCCAGCGAAATTCTTGCCTGAACATAGTTTTGGCACGCTCGGTAGGACTATAAGTTTTGTATGTTAAGAAAATGAAGGAAATAACAAACCGTCAGGAGCAAAATAGAGTAGAAACCACCCCAGTTTATGCTAAGATCTAGCATGGCAAATCTCCCCAAAGACTTGCAAGGACCTGTTTTGACAGAAAGCCCGACTCCTTCGGAGAAGTCAGGAGGGAAGGTCACAAATGAAGACCTACAGACCACCATGATGGTTGTCATAAGAAGCATGGAGAAAAACTCTTTAGAGATAAGAGAAGAGGTAAGCATACTATGTTCTTTAATAGGGAATCTGCAAATAAGGCTAGATCTGGAGTACCCTACCCCAAAAAATAACTGTATTAGAAAGATGATGAGAGAAGCCAGACTTGTGGAGGAGCCAGTTATTCCTCTGTTTCCTTTACTTGAGGGATAGAGGAAGGAAGAATCCAGAACTAAACAGCTAGTGCTGGAAGAAATCTAAGAAAAAGAGTTGCCTGACCCCTTGTTGTTTTCACTAAACAGTAGGGGTAATGCGGGCCAGAAATAAAGCTGTTGTTAGAAGAACCACATGCTGATACATGATGCGAAAATTAACTTAACACATAAATTGAACCCTCTTATTGACAATTGCAGTCAAGATGTAAGTAGGGATCGTTCTGGACCGAGGATTATGAAGGATTGCTAATCTATTTAAAACTGACTTTAAAACACAAAACTAGGCTAGAAAACACTTAACTAGACTCAAAGACTCTTAACTAGACTTATATGACTCAAAACAAACTAAACAACTCAAAACAGCACAAAACAATCAAATAGACTCAAACTAGACACTATAGAATGATTTGGATGAAAATTGAGTTAAACTTGACTCAAAACACTTAAAAACACAAACTAAGACAGATTCTAACTAATTTGACACACTAAAGTAAATGGGATTGGGTTTTGGAAGAATTTTAAGTAAAACAAGTAACTAAAGACTTAAGACAGATTTTGGACGAATTTGGGAAAAAGTATGAGTGATTGGCTAGCTAGAAGGTCCTTCTCCACACATGACACACTTGCATACAAATTGATTTCCAGTTGCTTTTCAATAAACCATGAATCTCAACACCCCAGATTAACCATGAACAACACTAATTAACCCTCAGATTTTCCTGAAGTTATTGATTTGGACGGATAACGCATCGGCAACCCAAATTATTCTTCAAAAGTTCCCTACATGAACAGCATAATAGAGATACAATCAAAGATCATTAAGCTTTATAAAAATCATAAGCATTGACAAAGCATTCGTAACTATGATGAGCATGATACTCCTGCTAGGAATCCACTTAACACAATTGTGACTAGCAACCTCCACTACTTATGAATATAAGTTCATAACTATTAGGTGAAACTCCCTTATATTCTAGCATCAAATTCATGCAT